AATAACAGCATTTCTATAGAAATTATTGCAGATATAATATATTTTCTATGGAAAACTGTATTATTCTCTATAGAAATGTACTGATATATTATATTTTCTATAGGAAAAAAAAACCAGCATTTCTATAGAAAATAACTCTGATAAAATTAATTTTCATAGAAATTCACAGCATTTCTCTTGAAAATAACGCTGATATAATTTTTTTATATCGTTCGATCACTAAAAAATTGTTTTCACGAATCAAAAAAAAAAGTGTAAAAATAAAAAATTATAGGCCTACAAGATGATTGTAATGTACAAATGTGTTTTGGTAGTTCATGGCAGGAAACATGAAATGTTTGAACCCACTGTACAGAAATCCCAACAAAATGTATTCATTCTCAAGATCTTTATTTAACACATATTAAACACATATATAACAGGTCAAAAACCAAACTAAAATAATGTTTGCATTGCATCATCTAAAAGTAGAAAAAAAAAACTGGATTCAATATCTTAAAAGAATAAACTGCATTGAATTTTACTAGCATTATGAAGTCACACGATGTAGCACTAGGTGTATTGTGCAAACATATAAAGATTTATAAAAATATTTTTACAGTATATAATCTGTATTTACAGTAAATTGCAGGCCTATATAAAATATTATAAATATATTAAATAACATCAAGGTACTGTAAGTGATATTGATAAGGGTAGATGAAAGAAAAAGTTTTATATATTTTTATATACTATTACAGTACAGTATTAGATTTAACTTTACACAAATTTAATAGATGTGAAAGACTCAAAAAATAAATTCCAAAACATAAGGTGGATAACCCTGCACTGTATGGACCATTCATAATTATCAACAAATGTATAAACAGTATGCTAAGGGGAAAGGGCCTGGTACTAAATACAAAATTAAATGAAAGGAATTTACAAAAGCTTAAAATATTGATTGAAATCGGTTTTCTAAATTTAATAACATGCCAATATGGATTATTTAAACCAAATTATGTATTTATGTACCCATTGAAAAAAAGGCCAGAGAACAGTATTGCAAAATCAACATTTTCCATGAATGTACACTTTTTAAAGGGGTTGAGGTGGCAAAAAAGAGTACACTTTTAATACACTATGTTTACAATTGTGATTGGCCCCTATGTAAGTTTAAACTTTAAAGAAAAAAATATACTCAGTTACTAAACAGAGAGCTACAAAATAAAATACATTACTGAAATAATTGCTACTCATATAAATAAGAAAATATTGATTTTATGTATATACAATAATATGGCAAGACAAAAATATTTAAACGAATGTTATGTTTTAGAAAAAAAATATGACAAGGGTAGATATAATTATTGATGTGGAAGTAGCATTTCTATTTAATAAAGCCAAGCTCTGAAGGACATAAATCTGTTGATATGTTGTAGAACTAATCTTTCTAAGCCTCAAAGTATATTTGATAAAAAACTTGGAAGCAGTTAATGAGAGAGATACAGATTTTTGAATATTTAAAAACTGGGGAAAAAGGGTGGTTATGTCTCTTTTTCCCCAGTTTTTAAATATTAAAAAATCTGAATCTAAACCGCTTCAAAGTTTTTCATCAAATATTCTTTTTGGGTTTTAAAAAAATCAGTTCTACAACATAAAAAAAAAAAAAAAAAAAAACTT